GCAACAAACGGTACAAATTGTTGACCACATTTCGCTTATTGATAATCCAATGGAGACAATGGTTGGTAAATATGAGGTCCACTTTGCCCTCCAGTGCTCGCAGTGTCGGCGACAATAGATCCCATTCGAGACCAAAGTCTTGGGCCAAATACTGGACGTTAGGTTTGCCGTGATTTTTGCCGGCAAACGCTATCATCTCTTTGTCCACATCTATGGCATAGATTTGTTTGGCGTTCAATACGTCGGCCAATGTTTTGGTTATATTCCCGGATCCGCACCCGATGTCCAACACTATATCGTATTGTCTTTAGAAACAAAAACATTGATATAATTAATAAATTTTTACAAAACAAAATATAAATACAACATTACATTAAAGATCATAACAAGTAATTGTTATATAAGAATAATTTACTAGAACATATTTATTAACATAGTTAATTTAATTTAAAATATAAAAGTATTAGTATAAAAATATAAATAATATGAATACTTGTGTCCATTTTCGGCAATTATTTTGGTCATCAAATCCTTCGCGTCTCTGATTTGCAATTTATTTGATTCGTTATATTTCTCTGCATTGAAATCCATTGTGTGTTTTGCATATGTATTACGTGACCACTTGTTTACAGCCAACTGTAATAACTAAAAATATTATCTTGTTGTAACTTTTAAAAATTTATTGCCACTTGCTTTCTATAAACATCAAAGATTAGTTATAAATTATAACTTATAATAACATTTTCATTAAGAAAAATCGCGATAGAAAGTTTTATGAAAGGGATTATTTGAATATGATAATAATTTGTGGTGTTATGTGCACTTACCGGCCCTGAAATCGGCACAAATCAATCGCTATAATCGATGTTCACAAAAATTGATTTATTATTAGTACGAAATTTTACACAAAATCATCAAAAATAACATTCATGTGAGAAGTAAAGTATTTACGACAAAATGTCTCAAAAATTTTATTAAAAACTTTGCAAAACTATTTTTTCGGTTCAAAAACTGTTTCCAAACTAAAACTTATTTTTCCAATTAATGCCAAAAACTGAAAATATTTTTCTCAAATAAGTGTAAATATAATGTGAGAGAAAATATTGGGTTCAATAAACTTGTGCTGAAATTGGGTTTATTTTGCAGTGAATTAAGTGCTAACTTATATTTAATTTATTTCCATCAAATCATGTTTACTGATCGCAAATATCCTTAGACTTTAAACACTTATTACAAATTACATTGAATTTACATTATATAAACACATCGATTCATTGCATGTTTATATCATATAAAGTACATGTACTGTAAATCGTACCACGTTCGCGTGTTAACTAAAATGACCAATTGCCCTGGGTAGAAAGATTTTTATGTAGGAATTTTAAGATTTATTCATAATTTAACTTTTTTAATAATATATTTATTGAACAAATGATAAGATTTATAATATTTACATAAATTTAATGATAAATTAAACAAATATTTAATGTTTTTGTTTCAATGATTTGCGAGAAAACAACGATAATTATTATAAAACATCTTTATATATAGACATTAAAGTGTTTAATTAGATGTAAAAATTAGTTTAATTTACTAATCAGTATTAAAAACGATTTTTCAATCACTGGTTTTGGCATTCAATGAGATGTTTATTTCAAAAAAATGATATCAAAAATTAATTAATAATTATTAAAATAAAAACATACAATTAATATCATAATAAAAAAATTACAATTAAATTAATGGCAATAAAATCATAACAAACAGTATATCGAAAATAATAACTTCACTTTCAATTCAAAACTTGATTTTTGCATTTAAATCACATTAAATATAAAACAAGGTAACCAACAAAACAAGCTTATGCTGTCGGGGGAGGGGTATACCCAGTGCTGCCCACCCAGGGGTAGGACGAGGGACAGGGTTGGCATGTTTTCAAAAACCTGGACCCACTTTTTGAGCCCACATTACACACCGTAGGGCTCTTACAAGGGGGCGGGCGGTCATCGAAATCGCACTGCCAGGGCTGAAAGCCCAGTATATCACTGGTGGGAGTCGGGTGTCTCATCCATTGGATCATCTGGTATTTGGTGACAAAATACACGTCCTTTTTGGTGAGTATGTCATCGATGAAACGCATGAAACCCTTGCGATGGTGGGGTGTGTTGAACCAGGCCGAGTGATAGTACAGGCCAAACGGCGCCCGATTGCTCTGGTAGTGGCGGTTGAAGTTTTTCATCAGCATTTTGTGAACCCCCTCCTCGTCGGTGGGGTTACTGCACGCGTCGCCCATTGAACACCGGCCACCTTTCAGATCGTGCCACATCACCATGCCCACTTCCCATACGCCTGGCAATTTAAATACATGGTGAGTTAAAGCTTTTATATTTAATTTCATAATTAAATAAATTAATCAAGATTATAAGCTGTATAATA